CTTAACCTTGGAATATGAAATGTCTCCACGCTGTCGGTGAAGAAATTTAACCTCGTTTAATATGTTCGGTGTAACGGTTGGCGTGTGTGGTTTTATTTTAATTATGAGCTTCAGTGCTCACAAGTTACACAATGCAATACAAAAGAAAAAAGCTGAAAGTCCCATAGCTACCAAGGAACAACTGCTCGGTTGTGAAAGACAAAGTAAGGTGCTAAAACCTGGACAGGCTCCAATGATATGAGTGTAGAACTGAGTACGTCAGTATCGGATCTTGACGTGCGTTAGGAACGGCCTTGTCGCGATGTGCAGCTAGGAGTTATTACGGTGAACAAGGAGCCTGCAAGAACAGGTCATCCGATTAGGCATGACCGACCATAATCCATGAAATTTAGCCAAATGGCTTCAAACACCGAACAGTTGGTTATTTTCATGCATATAGTGACAGGGAATGAACGACATTGCTGTTTCGGTCAAACTCACGCTGAGGGAGAAGCAGATTCCAAACAGTAGGAGATGGCAGAAAAACCACGGTTTGTGACCACGGGAATATAAGATAACCAGTACAGAAAAACCCAAAGGATCACATTGAACCGCATTATCACAAGGTGTAGCAAGGCAAGAAACTGTGAACCTGAAACTGGTACTTGGGCAAAGAAACGCAGTAAATTTCTAGCAGAGCTGGTGTGATTTTACAGTAGGGTGAAGACCAGCCGTTCTCACCGTCATTGCAGATCTGACAAAATGAACTAAATGCTGTGATGAACAAAAAGCTGCACGGATTATCCAGGTTGGAAAAGAAAAACAGTAGCCTTCAAACATATCCCTTACCAAACTGTCCACTCTTCAACAAAAGCTGAACCAGAAGCATGAATGCAGCCCCTTGACTGAAAGCCAGAACACCGTCGAATGGTCCCTTGAAATGTCACAAAATAGATCTTAATAACCAACGCATTGTTACCTCTTGTTCGATCGTTTGTTTTAACGCTTCCAAGGATTCCGAGAAGCCTTCATCACAATCACTTTGATCTTGCGCTCTGAAATAGTTGTCCGAACGGGAAAACCACCAGCCATTGCCTACGCACAAAAAGGAAATTGGTTCCGTAAAATTCTTCTTACCCGAATCCGGACCAATCACGTTGGGAGCGGTAAAAAACACTACGATTGAGGCATTTATTTATACGATGCGGAAACTCACCAAAATCGCAAGTCTTTTTCAATTTCTTCCGAAAAGCTCCCGTCTTCTCCCGAAACAGTTCTGCATTTTGCCGGTAGCCATGCATACATAAAATCTGGGGTAAAAAGATCTCGATCGAATGTCCAAGACCGATTCACTACCCTTAATTTGCCCATAAGTATCGGTTGTAGAAAGATCTTCCAATTAAAAAGGAGACGGCAGATCAATGCTAAAGCGTGGAAACTATGGAGAGTTAGACAAGTAATTTTTAAGGCAAAGCATAAATGCAGACCGTTTGCGTAAAAACGATTATTCATATAGTTATAAAACTAAAAAGTAACCACTTGCATGTAATTGGCAAATGCATCACAACATATGCCAAAAGAGATGTGAAAAGGGTTTTTAAAAAATCAACGAATATGAGTCTCGTAACCGATGCGCCAATGACGCCGGTTACCAGCAATGTTTGCAGTATCTCAAGGCATAGATGTTCGCTGTCCTTAGTGTCCTAATCTGGGAGCCTAGAAAGCCCCCATCACAGCCAATTTTACCGCCCTCATCGTTCGAGTCCACTTCGTTCGTTGTTTTTCTTGTTACCGCTTCCGGTTAGTGTCGCCTTGCGCAAACATAACGCGATGGGGTAGTTGTTCAGCCGATATCCGCAACACATATCCCAGCCCCAAAGTCTCTGGAGTGTGATGACAGCACTCGGAGGAAAACTGAGATTGTCTGAGGCGAAGATTATTCGGCGAACCTCATCGTTGGTGATTCGCTGTTGCCAACGTATTCTGGCGATGCAACGAAGGTAACGGTGGTCAAAGACACTTAATCTCCATACGTCTTCTGTGTGGAGGGGCCAACTCTCACAGCCGTAGAGTAGGACAGAGCGTACTGTTGCATTGTAAACGCGGCCTTTCAAGGAGAGACTGAGATCGCGTCGGCGCCCCAAGTGACGTAGATTAGCGAAGGCCACTCGAGCCTTGGANTTGGAGATACGCGCTGATATTTCTTCCGTCAGTCCTCTTGAGCTGAAGCAACTCCCGAGATAAGTTAAGTGATCGACGATTTCCAACTGGTCGTTTATAAGCGTGAAGACAGGTGTAGCCTCTTGCCAGTCTTGTAGTAACACCTTACATTTCGATGGAGAAAATGTCATACCAAACTGCGTGACGAAAAATGATAACTTACACAGGACGCTTTGAGCGTCTTGGGAGGAGTCGCAGAGTAAAACGATTTCGTCAGTATATTCCAAGTCACGGAGTCGATCACCTTGGAGGAGCTCCACATCGGAAGCGGTGCTTAGGATTTTGTCTATTGCGAAATTAAAGAGGAAGGGCGAAGCTGGGCACCCTTGTCGAACTCCACTTGTGATGGTAAATGACGGAAGGATGCGATCATAGATCTTGACGCGGCCTGATGTGTTTGAGTAGAGGGCTTTTAGAAGGTTTATATACTTCTCNAGCACGTATGTCCAAAAACACAATAATGGTCGGTCTACTGAACGTTTGACGTTGCTCGAGGATCTGGGGTAGCGTAAATATGTGATCAACGCAGCTCCGGCCAGGACGGAATCCAGCTTGTTCTTCGCTAATTTGACGCTCTCTTGTTCAACTGAGCCTGCGAAGGATCAACAAAGTTAAAAGCTTGGACGCAACAGAGATGAGACTGATCCCTCGATGATTGGAGCAATCGTGGCGGGGGCCCTTCTTGAAAACAGGTACGACGTCCACCAAACTCCATTTGGATGGAATGCATTCCGTATTCCAGATGGTTTGGAATAAGAAAGTTAGTTTGCGTACAAACCTTGCACCACCGTTTTTGAAAAGAAAAGGAGGGAGCTCACCTGGGCCGGGTGATTTGTGGCGTTTCAGAACTCCGAGCTCTCGGGAGAACTACCCCTCTGTAAGTGATGAGTTGTCCACAGACCACGGAGCACTACAGACCTCGGGAGATGGAGGTGGTGATGTCGATGGCCAACTGAATTGTTGATAAAAGTGCTCAGCCCAGCGCCCAAGCCGACGTTGTAGATTGTGGATACAGTCGTCATTAATTTCGCATTTGGTTTTCACTGACGCATGGTTTTTCGTTACCGGTGGCTCGGATTGGTCGAAAAAAGTTCGTGAGCATTCCCGGAAGCAGAGGATAGTTCCATCTCGGAAGCGCGTTGTGCCCACCAGGTCTCTCGATCCTCTTATAGGAACCGGTTCAGTTTAGCACTGAGAGTCCTGCGAACTGTGTTGTATTCATTGTCTGGAGGGATGCTTCGACGAGTGTCGAGGAGTTGGAGAGAACGTGCCGAAACCCAGAGGTTGACGGTGAGTTTGGTGAAGCCACATACTGTGGTGGCGGACTTATGCATGGCGTTACGGATGCGAGTCCATGGGTTGTCAACATTCGAGGATGACAGACAGTCTAGATCAGCAGCTAACGTGTTTTGGTAGGCGGTCACTACGTTTGGGTAGGTCAGTTCCATCAAATCGAATCTTCTCGGGTGACGTTGCTGTTTTCCGCCAAAGAACNATGATCAGAGCTGTGATATGTGCTCCAGATGGATTTGCAGTCCGTTATGCAATTTCTCCATCGATAGCTGATGGCAATATGGTCTACTT